GAAAAAAAAAAGAAATGTGGGCTCTATTTTACGATGAAAGCAAAGAAGGGTCTGAGACCTAGGGATAGGTACCTAAAAGACGAATGAGTATAAATAAATAAATAAATAAATAAATAAATTTACGGCTTCATTTTTCAACGAAAGCAAAGAAGGGACTATGGCGTAGGGATAGGTAACTAAAAGACGACTAAGTATACGAAGAAAAAAAAAAAACTTTGAGCTCTATTTTTCGACGAATGCAAAGAAGGCCCTAAGGTCTAAGGATAAGTACCTAAAAAACGATCAAATATACGAAGAAAAAAAAAACTTTGGGCTCTATTTTTCGGCGAAAGCAAAGAAGGGTCTAGGGCCGAGGGCCTAGGGATAGGTACCTAAAAAACGACTAAGTATATGAAGAAAAAAAAAAAACCTTTGGGCTTCATTTTTTGGACAATGCAAAGATGTATCTGTGGCATAGGAATAGGTACCTAAGAAATGGTTGAGTATACATTCAAATATTACAAACAGAATTGAGTAACTATGGACTCTATTTTTCTATGAAAGCAAAGTATGGTTTAGGGCCTAGGGATAGGTAACTAATAAACGACTAAGTATACGAAGAAAAATAAAAAAATTATGGGCTCTATTTTTCGACGAAAGCAAATAAGCGTTCAGGACATAGGGATACGTACATGAAAAACGACTGAGTATACGAAGAAAAAGAAAAAAAAATGTTGAGCTGTATTTTTCGACGAAGCAAAGAAGATCCTAGGGTCTAGGGATAGGTACCTAAAAAACGACTAAGTATACAAAGAGAAAAATATAAACTCAGGGCCTAAGGCATAGGGATAAGTAACTAAAAAACGACCAAGTATGCGAAGGATATCTCACTTTTACATATGTGTTGTTGGGAATTTCTTTGGATTAACGTCATTATGATTCTTCAAATATTTTAAGGTCGGTTAACCATATGTCATGGTGATGAGAACATCAATCCAAATAAGGTAGATGGAGCAACATATATCAAAGAGCATTCATAGCAGACATAATGAGGAAAAAACCCACAGAAGGAGAAGAAAGGGAAAGAGAAGGTGGAAGTGAGTAGTACACAGTATACAATTCTCCCGAACGCGATGGCGTCAAATGATATTCGAAAAGCACAATCGAATCAACTCGAACCATAAATAGGAATCATGCCCGTAGTCATCAAGATCCTGTCCGAGTATCTGGCGGTCGACCCTACATGTTTCATCCGGCCGCCAGAGCCGGAATCATCAGGGGTCTATTATCACTGTGGAGATAAAAAGTAACTGTGCATACTCAATATATAGGAACTGCCTAGCACTACGACCACTCTAGACTATTCCTTTGGTCCAACTAAAGAGTCCAAATCATCTACCGCCAGAAGAAAAAAAAAACAGACCCAACGGGGTCCAGCACCAGACCGGGTCACGTCAACAACTCACCTCAGGGGCACAGAAACCCCACCCAGACATAAAAATAGTGGTTCAGCCGGCACGGCTGCAGACCCAAAACTCAGGGCCCTTCAACAGAAAAGGCCCAAACGTCAATGGGTCAAAAATCATACTGAACAGGTGCCCCAGACAGGTACCCATCATTCAATATGCGTCTCATATTTACTGCATTCGGGAAAGAGTCTCATCTAGTTAACAATCGAACCCAGTGGCTCCATATATCTCCAAATTTCATGGAAAAGCTCATCAATGCATTGTCAAAGTAAACATATGTAAACCCCCGAAGCCTCGGTTCAATCTCTAATGAAAGTAGAAAAACGCCCACAGCCTCAGGCATACTCATAAACCTCTTCGCTCGGTGCAAAAAGGATGTAATGGCAGCCATCTTCAACTGCTTACTAGAGTAGGAACCCGCATCCTGCAAGTTTTGGAAAATGAGAAGCCTTCTTCTTACCGCTGCTTGGTTTTTGTTCACCGCAGCAGTTCTCACGCCCTGAGGTGCCCCAAAATTCTTGACAAGACAACCCAAGAAATCCCATGAATCAGATCGATTGGTATATTCCAACGTAAGATTACTATCGTAAGAGCCCTCGAAGGCACTCAAATCTTTCATGTCCTCCTCTCTTCAACCTTGTTCTCCTTAGTAAACTTAATAAAGATTGACACGTTGTCGATCAACCGTATCCCATACACTAAGACCTTGTCCGCACCTAGCGACAACAAAAACATGAACTCAGCGTCAACACACAGCAGACAAGCAAAAGCTGGGCTAGATGGTTTACCCATCGGAATACCAATAACCTGACGCAAAACCTTCCCACCAATCATCGTGAATGTTTTATCCAAATCAAATTTAACAAAATCAATGAGATCAACAAATTCAATTGTGTCCCATCCCTCCTGTCTGCTATGCCTCATCAGTTTTGCACCTTTGCCCTGTCTCTTGGTCATAACCTTGACAACACCATCTCTCATTAAAAAGCCAATTAGTCACTCAAGGGCCTGAATGATCGACAAGTAGGGAAAATTGCAAAACATCCCCTTCACGTCATAAGAAGCAGTCAGCAATTCCTCTTCCCTACTCACATTAGCGTTGATTGCTGACACATAATGTGACAGAAGATCTGTACTCTTCATGTTAAAATGCGATCTCTTCGGTAGCTGCCACACCATCTCATTAACCACTGACGAAACTTTCTTTGAACCACGCACATTACATTCAGAAAAGAACGGGCAAATGGGCCGCCATTTGTTAATGTCCTTATGCTTAGGGATAATATACGCTCGGCCCAGTTTCCCTTTTTTGTTCCATTTTGCAAACTCATTCAACCCTTGTTTCTTGTACTCCATTTCCAACCTGCAGAGCAATTGACCCTCATCCTCGACCACAACCTCAAATCCCACATTATCAAAAAACAATTTGTCGAGACTTTTTTGATAGAAAGTCAGGCAACACACCAAAGTGTCACCTGGGTTATGGTCAATCGGGACGCAGACCATCACAGTTACTTTTTCTCTCCACTTAAGTATATCCTCCAGTCGGATATGCTCCCCCAACTTCTCGCAGTTGCGGTCAAGACTGAAACAATTCGTCAAATTTATCGATCGGGGCGGCTACACATCTAATCATATATCAGAAAAACTTTTTTCGATCTCCTTTCTCAATTTTACCGTCATATTCCGAGTTGCAGGGACCACAATGTTGCGGTTATTCCTCAGCCATGGTGGAGTCAACTCATTTGTACCAAGGCGATAACAAAAATTATCATTAATCCTGGCCCCAAATCCTTCATGCTATGCACAAGTACATGTCAATTCCCCTTTCTGTGCAAACTTACGAAAATTAAAGAGAATATCCCCAATATTTTGATTCTTAACCTAGACAACCCGCGCTCGTCTGATTAGCAGCTCCTTCCAATCCCTATTAAGCTTGGCACCCCTGATCATCCCTTTACATAATTATCGTATGCTAGGCTTACTCAAACGGTGATCGTGCGTGATTCGTACAATCAACCTCCACCTCATGTTGACCTGAAAACCCCTCCTTAAAGCTCCAGACAAAATCAACCGGAGAGAGCTACGAGTTTGCTTCTCAGAAAAGGCACGAATCGTCAAAAAGCACCGTACCAACAAACCAAGTCTCATGCATAAAGGTCCTTCCTAGTGCACGGTCTCGCCAAGAGTTGTGCTAATGCAGGTTTAAGATAACTCAACTTGAAACAAAACGACACGATACAGTCCAAGACGATAGACGCCGCCGCACATAGCATATCGCGACTCTCTTCAAAATCATTTTCTCCCCATTAATATTCATGACAGACGACCCAAATGTCCGTTTCAACAGTTTCCAATTATCAGTCAGTCGACTTCCCCCTTAACAGTGGACACCAATCTTAGTAACCCCTCAGCTAACGCAATCCTCCAAAATTTTAATTACTGATATGAAGCAGTTACCGTCAGAATCGTAGAAGGATAAATGTGTCTATTGTAGTGTTGGTCAGACTTTTCCCTTCTTTCAACTTCCTCACACATCTTTCTCTCTTACCTCTCCTCCGACGCTTACCTTTCTGCCTCGTATCCCTAGTATTAAGACGCGGATTAATTAGACGTATCAAATTCCTCTCAACCATTAGCAAGTCCCGTGGTAAACATCGACAAACAAGAATTATTACGAATTGTGCAATGCCAATCCTACGAAGCCATGCATACAACTGATGATTTCGTTTCCCATTTCCAATAACAACCCCGTCCAGACATCGGTACCGGTGTTCGTTCCACCGTACCGCCAAAGATCGTCCAGTCGAACCAACATACACATGTTTTGACCATGGCGAAACCAAAGCATAGACCCACGGCCCCTCACAGTAGTCCAATTCCGCATCATTCTCTCAAATTGCCTCTACGTACTTTCGCAACTTCAGGGCCTATGGAATGCAACCTAATAAAGTCATCCTCATAACAACACTAATAGAAAAGTCATTAAACTTTTTGTCACGAAGGAAGAAATCCACGCATTTACCAACCTTCATCCCACAATGACAATCTTCATTCTTACCTACCAGTGCACCCTTTGTTCTATCCTCACGAAGCTGTCAGCAATAAGACACCCACTTTCATAAGTAATCTCGTTCGGGAACCCGTTTTAGAGTTTCACGGATTGTCCATCTTCCGACACGGAAGCATCATCATGCACCGGGGAATCTTCCGAAACCTCGTGCACTGATTCAACATTATCGCTCTCCTTGCTTCCATTACCAGCTTTACCCAGGGCCTTGTCAGCCCTGTATTCAGCGATGTCTACTATCATCAAGTCAATCGTCTGAAGTTTCAAACCAGTCTCCCGGCACAGCATCACCAATCCAGATTTTTTGTAGTTCCTCAAGTCTTTCTTTTGTGCTTCAATAAAATGAAAACGTTCGTTAGCAGCTCCAGATGATTCCGCACACCCCCCCATATCTCATCGAGGAGTAGCTATCAAGCCTTTCCTAGTAGAGCAGTTAGCGACAGCCTCCAGCCTCGTTTTTAGATTCGTACCCCCTCTCTCACGTTGTGTGTCAGATTCCTCAGCAGGTACTTTGCTGAGCTGCTCCTTGAGCTTAATCACCTCTCCTTCGGCAACAACCTGCTTCCCTTTAAGCACTTCGGTCTCCCGACTTGCCGCACGATGCATCTCTTTCATCTTGACATACTCCTGTTTCCATTTGTCTACTTCTCTGATGATGGCTGCGAAGATCCACGTGGCAGTCCATCGGGAGTGCCGATTACGACGCTGCCACTCTTGTTTGCCTGGTCGCAAAGCTTCCCCCTTCCACGCCTCAACTTCCTCCCTATCTTTCATCCCCTGTATCTTCAACCTGCTAACTTCAGTACATAAGCCATCAAGCTTCGATTCAAAGTTACCTTTGGCCAAAGCAGAAGATCTCAACTGGTCGATCTCCTGTTTCATAGAGAATATGTCATCCTCTGCGACTTTCTTCACAATCACCTGCTGCTTAAGCTCCATGATTTCCTTATGAAGCGTAGCAACCTTACTACCCTCGTTAACCACATCCTCCTTTAATAGTAGTCTCCCCAAACGGTCATTCTCCTTACGTATCTTCTCCATTTCTTCCGATACAGTGACCTCATCTCCCGTCTTCTTCATTGCATCGTTCTTCTCCTCCATACGCTTATCCAATCGAGCACTCATTTCTGCCTCAGGGCGCTCTCGTTCCTTCCTCCACTCGTCTTTTTTATCCTCTTCCTCTTTAATTCTCCTAGTCTTCTCTTCTTCTTCCTTCTATTTGGCTTCTCTCTCCTCATCAGCCAAAGTCTTTGCAAAGCAGCGATCCAATTTCTCTTGGTTAGTCCTCCAAAAATCCGGTCGTGCGTACGAAGAGAACCGATTCCGTATCCAGACGAATAACTCGAGGAGGCAAACCCAACGTTCGACGCTTGGCCAGAAGAACCAGAAGCAGGATAAGTAAGTAACAGAAGCGGGGTGGCATTAGCACAGGTGGCATGACCTTTGCCATAACCTCGGTGCGGTCACTCACGCTAAAAATGGTTAGGAAATCCACAACTATAGCAAGATCTAGGAGGAAATTGTCCTGCCATGACAGCCGCACAATAGAGTAGGTCAGTCACTCCAAAGTCAACGGGCCACACTCTTGTAGTGCAATCTCTACAGAGGTTACCTACGTAGAATAAATGGTGATGAGAACATCAATCCAAATAAGGTCGATGGATCAACATATATCAAAGAGCATTCATAGCAGACACAATAAGGAAAAAAACCACAGAAGGAGGAGAAAGAGAAAGAGAAGGTGGAAGTGATGCGATGGCGTCAAATGATATTCGAAAAGCACAGCCGAATTAACTCGAACCATAAATAGGCATCATGCCCGTAGTCGTCAAGATCCTGTCCAAGTATCTGGCGGTCGACCCGACATGTTTCATCCGGCCGCCAGAGCCGGAATCGTCAGGGGTCTATTGTCACGGCGGAGATGAAAAGTAATTGTGCATACTCAATATATAGGAACTGCCTAACACTACAACTACTTTAGACTGTTCGTATGGTCCAACTAAAGAGTCCAAATCATCTACCGCCAGAACAAAAAAACCAGACCCAACGGGGTCCAACATCAGACCGGGTCACTTCAACGAGTCACCTCAGGGGCACAGAAACCCCACCTAAACACAAAGATAGTGGTTCATCCGGCACGGCTGCAGACCCAAAACTCAGGGTCCTTCAACAGAAAAGGCCCAAACGTCAATGGGTCAAAAATCATATTGAACAGGTGCCCCCAGACAGGGCGAAAATGAAAAATGTGTCGACTCGTCGAGGAGATTGTTTAGCAGTTTTTGTAATTTTTTGAAAATTTACTGATATGTTTTTTTTTAAATACCACCATCTAATCTATGAACTCTTAAATTTGCTGATTTTCCTACGAATTTTGTCGAGCACAAAAAATTGTCAACACTGCCTCTTTCTAATTGTGGGACTAAACTCTCCACCTTTAACAACTCTCTCTCTCTCTCTCTCTCTCTCTCTCTCTCTCTCTCTCTCTCTCTCTCTCTCTCTCTCTCTCTATCTATCTATCTATCTATCTATCTATCTATCTATCTATCTATCTCTCTCTCTTTATTTGTGCATATATATAATGATAGTCTGCTCGTCACAAGTACCTTGACGGCAGTGCTTCATGCCCGCCTTAGGGTATCAATTGTCAGACAATCGTTGATGCTTAACTAGAGTCGGGGTTAAGGTGGATTATCACTTACATTGTAATCGGTTGGGGGATTCTGCAGACCGTTGAGGGTTCTATCTCCTAATGAGTCGGTGAAACTCTGAAAAAACAGTTTGTCATAGACCCTTGTTTGTTGTCTTATTCTCCCTCTCCGCCTACGGTTTACCGGGCAACTTTGTTTGACGATATATATATTGTGGGCGCGCTTAGTTCCTTTACTTTGGCTACCCTAGATTTTGTTGTGATATTTTCATGAAAAATATTAAATTTGAAACTTTAATGCTGCAGTATAGTAGGTTTCGACGTTCGTGTCAAGGTGACACATATTCAGTGGTGTAGTACTGACATTGAGGTGGGTTCTAAGGGAGAAAAGGTTAACAACAGTCGTATTTTTCATCACCACTTCAGGACGTCGTTCACCACTTCAGGATGCAGCCTGCCTAAACAGGTGGTTTTCAGGGTCTTCGGAGCTTTCACCATTTCAAGACCATTCAGGTCTGAAAGTCCTGAATGGTCCTGAAGTGGTGAAAGCTTCGAAGACCCTGAAAACCACATGTTTAGGCAGGCTGCGTGAAGAGTGGTTTTCATGGTCTTCAAAGTTTTCACCACTCCAGGACCATTCATGATTTTCAGACTACCCAAAACTCTCACTTGACCACTTCAGGACACCCTTCACCACTTTAGGATGCAGTCTACCTAAACAGGTGGTTTTCAGGTCTTCGGACCTTTTACCACTTCAGGACCATTCAAGATTTTGAGACTGCCAAAAACTCTCACTTCAGAATTTTCATTCCTGAATTTTCGGCTACCCGTTAAACCGCTTGTGTTCTAAAGGGGTGAAAGTTCTTGGGGAACCAGTCTACCACGTTTTTACGGACTACCGACAACTATCACGCGTAGAACCATTGCGGTAACAAAGTTGCAGGACCGGTCCTCTCTTGCATGTGAACTGCAAAATGGCCTAAGGAAAAACCCGTTTGCCAATGCTATGAGGCCCAGACATTATGGCAAAGTCTTGTGCGAACACGCGTGAACGTTACTTTCCACTAGGCCCTTGCATAAAAGGGTTACCAACGGGTCCAACCCCGCAATTTGCAAGAGGTAACTTATATGATTTTTTTTGCTCAAAACAATTTGCATAAAAATATGAATCTTTGAAAATGCGTAGATTAGGTAGTGATTTTTTTTGAAAAAATATCAAATAACTTTTAAAAATATTGTTAAATCACGGGTTCAATGATCCCTACTATTCATCAAAACGCAGTGCACTGTAACTATGGCAATATTAATAGTGATCTGACACGGTGTACGTTCGAAGGAAAAAGGTTGATGGGCCATAAAAAAAAAAATCAAAAGCGAAATAACAAAAAAAAATATAAAAACAAATTAGGCTTGAATGCATTATGTACTAAAACGCCCTACCTTGCTGGCAGGACTGTAATCTTAAAAAAACAATAATAGTAATAAAAAATGGACATAATATTCATCTGATACATTCAAGAAAGTAGTAATGTGAGTATGCCATAAGTGAGGGCATTCATCAAAATGTTAATAGGAGGAAAGAAGCAAAAGGAAAAAATAGAAAAAAACATAGAATATAGGGACGTAATAGCGGTCAAGTACATTTTGGAAAGTAGTAGTGTCAGTATGCCCTAAGTGAGAGTCTTTCTTAAAAACTTGGAAAACGTCTATCCAACTGGCATGACACTAAAGGAGAGAAGAAAACATAAAATAAAAACAATGATTTGGTCGTGATAGTGAACATATACGTTATCGACAACACTATTATTAGCATTCCCTAGGTCAGATGGTTTCCCCCACATCTTATTTTTTATTTTTTCTGTTAATTTTATGAAACGACAACGACATTTGTTCATCATTGATCTGCATCTTTTTTTTTTTTTTTTTTTGTGCTTTGTGTCATCTGCTGGCACGAGGTACAATACTCGAATTTCAAGATAGGCTGGTACCGATACCCCAATATTTTGTTTTTTAACTTTTCGTTGTTGTCGTAGGACTCAAAAATCTGCAATTTTTAGTCCGTTAATTTAGGTTTGTGTGAACTGGTGGTTTAAGACCGCGAAAGAGTCACCTCGCCAATTCAACACATTTCGCATTTTTGCCACTCAACTGTGTGTGGGCCAAGGAAAAAATACTATAACTTCATATTTTTTTGTGCTCATAAAAATGTGTGAAAAATCTTAAAATTTAGGTGTTTGTAGATTTTTTTCTAATTTTTTCAGAAAAAATATATATTTTAAAAAATAATAATAATATTTTTAATCTGTGTAGCACACCGAACATGTTCGAAACTTTCCCCAACGTCTGAACATGTTCAGGTGTTTTGTCGAATGCCTCCCGAACATGTTCAGCCGAACATATTAAAAAAAAAAAAAAAAAAAAAGGTTTTGATTTTTAACTCGAGTTTGGTTACAAATTGTTTTTTTTATATATAAATATTTTTATGTCTGCGTTCGGAGAGTTTTGGCGCTCGTTCGCGTTCGGTCGCGAACGTTCGGGTTCGGTGACCGAACACGATGCTACATATATTTTAACTACGAAATAGATCATGGCTGCAATTTGATTCATATTCCAATTTTATTATTCAACCTCTCTTTTTCTCTCTCTTTGTGGTAGCCCCTCCCCTTTCCCTCTCTCTCTCTCCCCCCTCTCCCTCTCCCTCCCCTTCTTCCTCCTCTCTCTATTTTTTTTTTTTTTTTCCTCTCTCTCTCTCTCTCATGTGCGCGCTTAGTCTCATTGCTTTGGCTACCTTAGGGGTGTGTTCCCGACGCCCACGCGGTAGTTTGTTTGTGAAAAAAAAGAAACGTTCACTCTCTTCGCCCCCCCTCTTCAAAATTCACAACCCTAAGTCTGCGGTATAGTTCGCAACCCTTCAGCCATCTATTCGCAGCCTTAAGGGTTGTGGTATGGCGGGGTCGGGTGTCCTTGTCAAGGTAGTCAAATTTTCACCGTGGACTATCACTGCAAAAAATGGCATATAGGGGTCCAAATTCTGGTACGACCGGTCATTTGAGCGCTGGCAAAGGACGTACAACCTTATGGAGGTCCTACCGGTAGGTAACCATTTAAAAGGATCGGTCTCATACATAAGTCCTATGTGTAGTGGCACTCAGAGGGACAGGCCGTGGTGGGGTCCCTATGGTGAAATTGGGCGGAATCCAAAACTTTGAAACGGTGTTTGCAAGACACAACTTTCGTGATTTTTTTGCTCATGAGAACTCGCAGAAAAATCTAAATAAATATAAAATTCATGTATATATATATATATATATATACATATATATATATATATACAGCATAACCGGCATTCGTGACGGGCCGAACCCCCGAACGTACGGGACCCC